TGCTGTTCGTATCCCATTTAAGAAATCTTTGCATATTGCAAAGCTGTGAGGATACTTATCATAAGATGTAAGGGTGGTCTGGTTGTGACATCTGTCACCCCATTGATCACTAAGGTTGGATTCAGCTAATCTGACTGGAAAAGTGGTGTCTCTTAGTACTTCATCAGCTTTTCTCCCAGAGTGACATGCTTGGGCAGAGGATGACCTTCCCGGAGAGCCTTTCTTGGCTCAAGCATCTGTGTATGAGTAGCTATGCCTTTCTGCTAGAACCTTCAGGCAAACTCTCAAGATAATTCTTGTCGGATATTTTTCAGAGTGTTTTAGTTTTGCTCTTTCATGTTTTAGATATCTGTTAACCATTTAGAATTATTTGAGGGTATGACTTGAAGTATAGGAGGTCAAGATGTGTTACTTTAGAAGTGAAATCATCTGTTGGTTCAGCATAACTTATTACAAAAGCCATCCTTTCCTCACTGCCTTTGTCATGAATCAAGTAACAATATATGTGTGGGACTATTTCTTCATTCTATTTTGTTCCATTTGATTATTTTGTTTATCCTTCTCAATTCTGTACTATTATAATTACTGTCATTTTATATCTGCTAGCATAGTCCTCTACCATTGTGTTTCTGCAGAATTGGCTGACAGTGTTCACCTCTTTTGTTTCCAAATGGAACTACTTGTCAGTTAGTGTTAATCCAACAACAACAAGTATTTTCCTAGAGTGTTTTTTTTTTTTTTTTTTTTTTGGTGGTAGTAGTGGTGGTGGTGGTGGTGGAGCCTGAACTCTGGGCTGGACGCTGTCCCTCAGCTCTTCAGCTCAGGGATAGCAGCCTAACACTTGAGCCACAACACCACTTCTAGCTTTTTCTGCTTATGTGGTGCTTGAGGAATCGAACCCAGAGCCTCATGCATGCGAGGCAAGCACTCTACCACTGAGCCACCTTCCCAGCCCTCTCCCTAGAGTTTTAATTTTTTTTAACTGAATGTAGAACTGTTGTGGGAGGATTAAAGTCTTATTTTTTTTTTTTTTTGGATACTGGATTTTGAACTCAGAGCCTCATGTTGCTTGTTTTCTTGTTTGGTCAGCTAGCACTCTACCACTTGAATCACAGCATTGCTTCTGGCTTTTTGATAGTGATGAGAGTCTCACAGACTTTTCTGCCCAGGCTGGTTTTGAACTATGATCCTTATATCTCAACTTCCTGACTCACTAGGATTATAGACGTGAGCTGCCAATGCCCAACTTATTTTAGTGTAATTATATAGTTGCCTTAAGAAATTGTAATTGTCTTGGAGTTGTAAAATTGTATATTGTAATTATGTAGTTAGCATTCTCTGACTTGCCTAATTTTAGGTCAAGTTGTCAGTATCGCATAAAATTTATGAATTGTAATGTGCTGTAGGGCAACATTACTAATGAACACTACTAATTAGTTGATATTTATTGATTTTCAGTTTTATATGTCTTCTAAAGGTGAGGGAAACCTTTGTATGGTACCAGGCTTATTCTGAAGTAAAATGCTAAAATCAAGGCAAAGTGTAGAGTCTAATGGCTTATTTTTGTACTTTGTGTCTTATGTCTTATTACAGTCTTGTGGGTAGAATATTCTTATCTTAAGCTGTGGTCAGTAGCTAGTATTGTCTAATGGGTGCCAGGCAGATGTCTTTTGGATATTATTTTCTTTGTAGTGAAAAACCCTAGTTTAAAAATACCACTCAAAGATAGGAGGGGAAAACTGAGAGAAAAACGAAGGAAGGGGTGACATTGTCAATTGTACATTATTACCTGACTCATGGAATTGTAACCCCTCTGTACAACTTCTCAATATAACAATAAAATTATATATTAAAAATATCAACTTACATTACTTGACAATTAGGAAATTAGAGATGAAGCAGAAAATTCATTAGGGTCATTATATGTAAGAACATTATGATGTAATTTAGCTTGAATGGTAGTTGTGAAGATAGAAATTGAAAGAATTACGGTATATTTTAGAGGTTAAATTGGCATAATTTGATGATGAATTGGATGGACTATTAAGAATGATCAGGGGGGCTGGGAAGGTGGCTCAGTGGTAGAGTGCTTGCCCTAGCATACATGAAGCCCTGGGTTCCATTCCTCAGTACCACATAAATAGAAAAAGCCGGAAGTGGTGCTGTGGCTCAAGTGGTAGAGTGCTAGCCTTGAGCAAAAGAAGCTCAGGGATAGTGGAATAGTGTTCAGGACCTGAGTTCAAGCCCCAGGATTGGCAAAAAAAAAAAAAAATAAAAAGAATGATCAAGGGTAATTCTTTCCAATTGTTTTTCTGGTTGTTATTTGATGGCAGTATCTTCATTGAAACGAATGTGTGTGGAAAAAGCTTATTGATTTAAGACCATGATATAATCACTGGCAAAAACAGGATAGAAGGAGAGGGGAGCCTAAGCTGAAAGCCTCTTTGTCTGCTCAGTGTGGAGGTTGAGCAAAGGGAGAGGAGATAGCAGTCAAACCTGAGGAGCAGCCAGTGAACTCCAGGCATGTCATGTCCAGAGTTTCTCCAGTAGAAAGTGAAGAGTGAGTGGTGGAGGGATGACATTATCTTATAAACTGACATGTCAGATTGAAGCCTCTTTGTACAAACAACTAACAGATTTTCCTTTTCCTTTTTCTTTTTTTTTTCCGGGGTGGGGAGGAGAGGAGGATTATGGGGCTTGAACTTTGGGCCTGGGCGCTGTCCCTCAGCTCTTCAGCTCAAGGCTAACACTCTATTACTTGAGCCACAGCGCCACTTCTGGTTTTCTGAGTGGTTTATTAGAGATAAGAGTATCATGGACTTTCCTGCCTGGGTTGGTTTGAGCCTCGATCCTCAGATCTCAGCCTCCTGAGTAACTAGGATGACAGGCATGATCCACCAGTACCCAGCTAACAGACTTTTAAAAAATCATAAAAAATCAAGTCACATGGCTGATATGAAAAGATAAGAATTTACATGGCATTGAACTTTAATCACATAAATTAAAGATGACAGAATTGATAAGAACAGCCTAGGTATAACATGGGAATGGAAGTTGTTTCCAGTTGGCTAAGGAGAGACTTGGTTGTAAGAAATAGGTGATTGTAGACATTTCTTTCAGACGTTCTTATTCTGAAGTCAAGATCAAAGAGAAGGGTAGGAGGCTGTCTAAGGAAATGTCAGGACATGTGGAAATGCTAATGTATTTCATCTAGTAAAGCAGAAGACGACCATGAGGAGGAAGAGCTTGGAAACACAGGAAAGAATAAGAGCAGGCATGTCAGTATTAGCAGAGAAGCAAGATTGGGAAAGGTACAGCTGAAACTGTTGGACTGATAGATTTGGTGATGGAGATGTGAGGTAATTCTTTTGTTTCCATTTTCTTCAGAATTAGAAGTGAGGTTATCAGAGGAGTGAAGTTGTGGGAGAGAAGAAGGAAAATCACAAATGTGATTCAGAATGGGGTAATACCAAACAAATGAAGTTAGTAATATCAGGCCTCACGTCAGATGCACCAGGTTTTGGGAGTGAGAGGTTCCATTCCTAGGAATTATCATAATCAGCTACTAGCATAGAGATGAAAAAGGTAATTGGGTATATGTTTAGGGAGTCAGTTCTTGCTCGAAACTATGTAAAGGTGTTGTATGTACAAAAGAAATAGAAACAGTGATGGACTATCAATTAGAAAGAGAGAATCCCAATCTGAAGCCCCAAATCCCAAACGCTCCTAATTTGAAACATTCAAGTGCAGTGATGATGCCACACAGTGACAAATTTCCCACCTGACTTCATGTAATGGGTTGCTGTCAAAACTCAGACACACACAATGACATTGTGTAAAGTTGCCTTCAGGTGTGTGTATAAGATGTATCTGAAAGATAATATATGGCTTGAGCTGGGTTCCAACCTCCAAGCTATCTCATTGTGTTCATGCAGGTTGGTCCACAAACCCCTCATCTGAAGCACATATGGTCTTGAGTATTTTGGATAAGGGCTACTTGACCTGTAATAATAAAATGACATGGTAACTGGATTGGAGGACTTAATAAGGTATAACAAACAGTTTTAAGAGAGGTAATACGAATTAGAAAAACTGGAGAAGAAGCAAAGGGGAAATTGCATGAAATTGACATTCTATGGTGAAGGGGAAGTTGAAGATGTGACCATAGGAGTGATGGGCATGTATCCGAGGTGGAGAGAGAAAGGAACAGGGAGTCTAGTGCACAGGCACTGAAATCAGCTGGCATAGAAGTAGACTAGAAAAGCAGGGTGGTCAGGTACAACTACATGAGAAAGATTAATTGGGCTGGATCACTTTGGACTCACCACAAGGTGGATTATTAGGTGGTATGATTTCATGGCATAGACTTCAGAATATCTGAGGTTTTCAAAGGAAAGAGTAGGAAAGAGTAGGAAATAAGGAACAAAAAAGAATTACTTTTTAGGGAGTTTGAGTATAATATTTTTAAAGAAAAAATGAGGGGTTCTGTGAAAGGATTTATAAGTAGCAGATTTCAGTTAGAAGAATAAATAGTAAAAAGAACATTTGACAGCATCAGAGAATTTGCTGTTTCTAAACTGAATTCAGTGGGCACAGTAAGAAGGTTGAGAGTGAAGAAAAGCAAAGCTTAGATTAGTGAATAGATTTAGCTGTTTAGGGATTAAAGCCTGGGTACTGTTGGATTACCTAAAATGGAGTTGCGGGATAGGTTATAATAGTTTTAAGCTGAATAGTAAAAGTCCTCACTGGTTAGTGTTTCCTTCTGTTTCTTTCCCTTCTGTGTAGCTCAACTAAGGATAAGGAGAAACCTTGACCAAGGAAAAACTGTAGTCCTGTGGTAGAATGGGGAAAGGAAGAGGCACGGGTGGAGCTTGAGGCTGAGACTAATTCCTGTCTTTGAAATCTGGCTCCATATTGAAAAAACACTCAGTTTCAAATAGCCTAAATGTCAAGTACTATACTGCTTTCAATAAAAGGTACTTTCTTCTTGGATTGTGCAGGTCACATTTACAAAGAGGAAGTTTGGATTGATGAAGAAAGCCTATGAGCTTAGCGTGCTCTGTGACTGTGAAATAGCACTCATCATCTTCAACAGCTCTAACAAACTGTTTCAGTATGCCAGCACCGACATGGACAAAGTTCTCCTCAAGTACACAGAGTATAATGAGCCTCACGAAAGCAGGACCAACTCAGATATTGTGGAGGTAACACACATGTAGTAATGCATGAATTGCAGATAACAATTAAATCTTCTGTTAAGTAACATTAACTGCCAGATTGCTTTGCATGTCCAAAATATCGAACCATTTCTTATAAAGATTTAAAATTGCTGTATGATGACCCACTTGTGCTATAAACAGATCCTATTCATTCAAACAAAATAAACTGGCCTCTTTTCCCACATAAATCTAACAGCCAGTATAATCTTAACATTTTGCCTATGATTATGTATTTTGTGTGTTTTTAAATGAAAAGCTATAATTTTAATAGGCTTTAGTAATTGCATTATGTCAGCAATAACTCACAACTTTCAACACTAATGAAAGGGAAGAAAATAATTTGTTTTGTTAAGAACGCTTTAGTTGGGGGAGGGAAGGAACATCTTTGGGTTTTTTGTTTTGTTTTGTTTTCTTTTTATCCATAACCCATTCAGTATCTCGTATAGTTCTGTCAACTTAATTGTGTGAAAAAGAAATTGCTTCTTAAAGAATGATTTTTTTATCTATTCAAAATGAGTCTTTTAAAAATAAAACTTTCGGGGCTGGGAAAGTGGCTCAGTGGTAGAGCGCTTGCCTTGCATGCCGGAGGCCCTGGGTTCGATTCCTCAGCACCACATAAGCAAAAAGAAAAAAAGCTAGAAGTGGCTCTGTGGCTCAAATGGTAGAGTGCTAGCCTTGAGCTGAAGAGCTGAGGGACAGTGCCCAGGCCCAGAGTTCAGGCCCCACAACCGGACCCCTCTCCCAAAAAAATAAAACTTTCATAAAGCAAAACCATAGTCAGACAGACATAGCAGCTCATGCTTATAATCCTAGCTACTTGGGAGCCTGAAATCTAGAGAAACACTGTTTTAGGTCAGCTTAATCTCAGCCAGTAAAAAGCTGGACATGGTAGCTCAGGCCTGTTATCCTAGTTACATGGAAAGCAAAAAGCAAGATCTATTTTAAAAAAAAATAGAGCAAAAAGGCCTGGGACCGTGGCTCAAATGGCAGAATACCTGCTCAGCAGGTGAAAGGATCTGAGTTCAAACGCTAGTGCCACCCCAAAGAAGAAGAGATAAGTTCTAGTGTTCTGTTATTTAGCAAGGTTGTATAGTTAATGATAACGGACTATATTTCAAGGAAGCTACAAGAATTTAGGTTGCAAATAAGTAGTTTGCTAAACACATAAAATTGGTCTTCTTTCTCCTATGATGATGCACCTGCACCCTTACTTGTAGTGCATGTCTGGATCTCAGTTCTTCCTCCTAGTGGTGATAATGCACACATTTATCTAAAACTGTTAATAAGGTCATCCAAATCAACCCTGAGGGCGATGCTTATGTCATGTAGCTAAAACATTTAAATGCTGTTGGATGCATTTTAAAGAGCAATATAAGCAGTTTGGGGCTGGGGGCATAGTTCAAGTATAAGAGTACCTGCTTGGCAAGAATGAAGCCTTCCTTGAGTTTAAACCCCAGTACTGCCTGCCTCCCAATAAATGATGATATAGAGAATAAGTGAAATTTTAATCAGTGTAAAATTACAAACAAAACAAAATATTCAAGGATGATTTGAACAGTGAAAGTAACTAGGGAAGACTGATTGATCAGCTTATCAAAACCTTCCTTTCAATTGGTTTGCACTGCTTTCTTACATAATGTTATGCTGCTTCTTAGTAGGACCATATTGTTCAGGGTAGCTGGGAACATTTCCTTATAATGAGAAATTCACATTACTCTTAAATTTGTATATATGCTTGTCTAGATATAACAAGACCAAACATGAAAATACATTGGTAGTTAATTAGCATTAAATGCTTGAATTACAAAAAGCGTTATTTTTATTAAAATAATAAGACAGGTATTGTACCTGTCATATTAGTTACTCAGGAAGCAGAGATTGGAGGGATAGTGGTTTAAGGACAGCCTGGGCAAAAAGTTCATGAGACCCTGTTTCAGCTGGTTAAAAAAAAAAAAACTGGGCTTGTCATTCTACCTACTGAGAAAGACCAGTAGGGGATCATAGCCCAGTCTAGCCTAGACATAATTACTAGACACTATTTGAAAAATAAAGCAAAAGTGAATGTGGTTGCCTCAAGTGGTACAGTATCTGCCTAGCAAGCATGAGGCCCTAAATTCAAACCCCAGTACCAACTCTCAAAAAAATTAAAATGTTAGCTTTCTATAAACCTAAATCTTAATAATTAGAATTTATATTTTATATTTATTGTAAAAAATCATTTAATGATTAAAAATAGCATTTAAAGTCTGGGCACCAATGGTTCATGCCTATAATTCTAGCCACTCTGGAGGCTAAGATCTGAGAATCATGGTTCAAAGCCACCCCAGGCCAGGCAAGAAAGTCCATGAGATTTTTATCTCTAATTAACCCAGAAGCCGAGTGGTAGAGCACCAGATTTGAACAGTGAGGGCCCAGGCCAGGACCTTCACAAAAACTATTTAAAAGCATTAAAATAATTTTAGTTTTACATTAATTGAGTATAGATATACTTGCATACAAGTTTTTAACTCTTTAGCTCATTGCCATCAGTAGAACACATATTATTTGAAAATCTTGCTCATAACAGAATGATTTCACTGAAATAAAGATGAGAAAAATGAATATGATATATATAAAAGTAATACATATCCTTATTTTACTACTTATCCAACCATTTCTGGTGTGTGAATAGGAATACATGCAGTAGTAAGTAAATATCATTTTGATAATCTACTAATACAGCTCTGAAGGAAAAAATAAACTGCCACACTCAATACACGAAACAGTTGTGTAACCAGATATAAACGGGATTTTAACCCACACATCAAGCAGTTCTGTGTATCCAGCTGTGTATTCCCAAGTTTAGATACTTCCTGGAGTACTTAGTGTCAGAAACCACTGGATGAGAGCTTAGCTCATATCATAGTAGGTTGTGATCTGTGCTCCTCACCAGTTGTTACAAACCAACTCCCTCAAGCCCCTGCCTGGGTTTGGTTAGTTTGCTAGAATAGCTCACAAAACTCAGGGGTGCCCTTGCTTACCTCTTGCAATTTATTCTGCAATGTATTATAATGCAGATGAATAGAATGATGAAGAGCTACAAAGGGAAGGGAACGGGGTCCTCACTGCAGAGCTTCTGTCCTTGTGGACTTGAGGGGCACCCCTCCACCCCAACACTAGATGTTTTTACCAACCTAAAAGGTCTACTTCCTGCATTTCATTAGGTGACAGTCCACAGTGAATGCCATCAAAGATATCAGTGGAGTCTTTTCATGTTATTGAGCACTGGCACCAAAATAAGTGACAGGGGCCTCTCTCTCCCTTTAGTGCTGGGGATCAAACCCAGAGCCTTTTGCACATCTAAACAAGCACTTTGCCACCAGGCTACACCCCCAGCCCTAGGTGGCAGGCTTTTTTTGGTCCTGCAAAGAGAAGTAGTTAAAGCATTTAAAGAAAATATTAGAACCCCCTATATTTTCTTGTCAGTAAATTTCAGATTAGAAAATGGCCAGCTCTGTTATGTAATTTTATAATAATATGGCCTAGCATGTAGGAAACTAGAGACTAAAATCACTAACATTAATAGTCACCCATTATTTATATACATGCATGTGTATATAAGTTGAATTTATACTAAATAAAAATCTAGAACTAGTAGAAGCTTTGGAGCTATGCATCAAAATAAGTGTTATGCTAAAAGCACGAAATGAGAGTTTTAGTAGCTGCTATATAAGAAATGTTTGTTTTGTTTTGTATGCCCCCTTTCATTTTGTAGAAGTAGTACATATTTCTATTGGAAAAAAAACAATTTTTAGTGGTGGTTGGTTTTTTTGAGATAGGGTCAATGTACCTCAGACTGGACTGGAGCTCACTCTTTAGCCCAGGCTGGCATTGAGCTCAGAATCATCCTGCCTCCACCTCTTAAGCGGTAGGATTATAGACATGTACCACCATACTCAGCTGGTAATATATATATATATATATATATTTATTTATATGTATATATCATATACATATAAATTATTGACATGTAACTTATATGGCAATGAAGGGAATGGGAGGGGGAAGAAAAATAGTTAAGATTAGTTACATCTATCAATTAGAAAATTAAAACAGATGCCAGTGAAAGTGATCATGTGCCAAGAGCATCAGTGGTTCTCAAAATGTGGTATTCTGCCCAGCATGTTGATACTGGTCAGTACTAGAGAACATTTTAGAAATAGAAGTTCTTGGCTTTTACCGCAGATCTACTGGATCATTTTTAGTAGAAGTCTCAATAATCTTGTATTAACTTGTCCTAAGTGTAGTTGTGAGCCGAAAGTTAACGCAGAATCTCTTGGAAATGGCTATATCTAGCTTTTAAAGTGTTTTTAGCTTGAAGACTATCCACAGAAATAGTTTTTGACAGTGAGTAAACATGAAACAGTAATTTTTTTAAAACCCTTTAAAAAGTAATTAAAAATAGCATGCTAGTGATACACAAACAGGTGGATCCTTGTTCTCTGGAACAGTAAAGAAACAAAGAAAAAAAAAGAATAAAGATAGTTTATTGCAAAGTGAAAGAAAATTTGCCTGGAAGAGAAGACAGCAGTACCTAGAAATTGGGAGTTTGTTTTGGCTGGGCAGGTTACCTCCTTTTATTCTCTTCTCTCTCAGTTGGAGTCTACCCCCAAGCCTCATTGATTGTATTAGGGGAGGAACACATTTAGGTGGGCTCATAGGCAAAAGGCCTATTGGTTCATTGGAAACAAGGGCAGGTGTTCAACTAGGCCAGAGCTGTTTGGGTCATTTCCCAATTCCCAGTTGGTTTCACTGCCTTCAAAGGCAACTGAAATGTGACTGAATTAGTTATAGCTGTACGTCACCCAGCCACAAAGAAACAGTGGGAATGGCTAAGAATGGAGAAACTTCTTAGTGACATACAGTCTTACCTCCCTGAAGGAGGGTCTAACCCAAAGGAACAGTAGTTCTTTATTGCTGCCTGTACTTTCTGAGGAGGGGAGAGA